TTCCCTCTCTCTCTCTCTCTCTCCTTCTTCTCCAATGAAAAAAATTGTCTCTTTCTTTGCTTGAAAGCAAAAAAAAAGAAAGAAAGAAAACTATGGAAGGGATTATATCAAAATAATAAATGAAAAGATAATTTATGATAAAATATTTTTATTGCGGAGGAAAAAAAAAGTGACGAAAATATATTATAATGTCATTTAATACATTAATTAATTAGGTGATAATTAAGTGTAAGATTGATAAATTATTACTAATTTTAAACAAATAAATAAACAAAAGTAGAAAATGAGAAAAGAAAAAAAATGAATGAAGAATTTAGAAAGATAACTTTTCCACAATTGAATTAAATTTAAGAGAGAGTAAAAGAAAAAGAAATAAAGAAAAGGTTGAATTTTTTTTCAAATTAAAGCATTTTTTAATTTTGCACCATACTTTTTTTTTAAATTTTAATGAAATTACTTTTTTTTTATTGGAAAAAAGACGAGAGAGAGAAAGAATGAAAGAAGGGAAGAGATTCATTTGAAGAGACCAATATAAAATGTTATCTTAAGATAATATGATGATGATGATGATGATGATGATGGTGATAATGATAATGATGATGATAATATCAAAATGTTAAAAATAGCTTTTCGTAAATGGGTCATTTTCAAGGTAAATGAAGCATAACAAATACGTATATACATATATGCATATATGGATGGTCAATGGCGGTCAAGTGCTTTTAAAAGAAGAAAGAGAAGGAGAGAGAGAAAGAGAGAGAGAGAGAGAGAGAGATAGTTAAGAGGTAAAGGAAAAATTGATTATGTGATTAAAATGTGACATAGTTGATCGAGGGATTCAATCATTCAATGATGGCGGTGAGCTTTTTCGCGCAATCTATCACCAAAAAAGGAAATGAATAGATCCGGAATAAACTACCAATTTCTCCGGTTGAAAATTAAACCTTACCTTAATGATGATAATATATTTGTGTGTGTGTGTGTGTGTGTGTATATGTGCACACGGGCGCAATAATACACTTCATCTTATCGCTTTGCAATCTATAATTTGCTGTATATTTGGAAAAAAAATAAAAAAAATGTAAGAATTAGAAATTTTTAAAGCTGTAAATGATGAAGGATACAAATTATTGATTTTTCTTCCTGTAACTTTACAATAAACATTCATTTAAAATAGTTAAAAAAAAAAGACGTAAACATTGCAAACTCTTAAAACTATAATTAATAGAAAATGTAAATTATTAATTTCTTTTCTTTTTAAATTTGTAAAAATAAAAAGTAAACAATAAATTCAGAATAAAAGAATAAAAACGAAAAACAAAAAAAGAAAAAAAAAGCTGGAAATAATTGCGAAAATTTTTTAACGAATTATAAAAATATTAAAATATATTTGAATGAAGAAAAAGAAGAGAAAAAAAAAAATTCTTCAGTTTTTTTTTTTTAAATTTTCATTTTTGTTAGATTTTCTTTTTTTTTTTTCAATTTCTTTTTTTCTCTTGTTAAAATCATTATATGCTTGAATAAATTGCAAAAAAAAAGAAAAAAAAAATCATTCATAAAATGCTTAATCAACTTGATAAGAGGGAGAAAGGGGG